CTGTTATTTGATTTTGGATAGTGATAATACTGAGATGTTTTAAATATCACGTGTCTGCTTTTTGTTAGAACGAACCAGAAGAGGAGAAACGGTTTGGGATATGATTTTTCTGATCAGTGGGTATGAAAATTATAATGAAATTTATGGAAGAATGACAGTGCAATATAGCGATAACTGTGTGAGACAGGGAAGTTTACGAATGGGTGTAAATATTGGAAGGAAAAGAGTCCAGTTCTGATGATGGGCATTCTCGGCTACCATAGATTGTAATCTATTGAGGTCAAGGTCAGATCAGACAGCGTATTCAGGACAACCGAAGAATCAGCATTCATGAAATTTCATCCACCATGGAAACAAGCTGTGAAATAATGACATAAGAAAAAAACTTTTCTTTTACGGAACCAGGAAACTTGGCCTTTGGAACAATATTATAATGGATAACGATTACGTATGAAGATTTCTGTCTTCTGGGTTGTTGCGCTATATAGTCTGGTCGATGTTAACAAACGTTTCAGAGGTCATACTGCCTCCGTCATCAGGGCGATGGAGGCAGTATGACCTCTGAAACGTTGGTAAACATCGACCAGACTACACAGCGCAACAACCCAGAAGACAGAAATCTTCATACTCACCGCTGTGAAAACCTCAAATCTTATACAACGATTACGTAGTTAAATACGATATGTGTAAGTAGTGTCCTCTTTTTTTGTTTTACTTAAAATAAAATAGCCTTGTTTTCTTTCATCAGTCAGTTGGCATTCCTCCTAAACGCGAGACTCGTTTCATCATCACGTTGACTTCGAATTGGTCATCATTAGCGCCGGTAACGTACAAACACAAACCGACGCCAGGGGCAGTACGTCCCATGTTTTGCTTTAGTTTGTACGTGCATCTGCTTCTGAGTGGCGGTGTTCAGTCAGGCGGATTGCAGGAAATCGGTTACAACAGTGAACATTCTGTTTTACTAGTTTTTCTTGTAACAACTTAGGTTTTACGAGCTCATATATTTTTACGATCTCCATAGATTCTTTAGGGATAGATTATATTGAGCAAGAAATACAATTAGATCATAATATCGATTCATCATGGTACTTCACTCGCCATTTCGATGCGTTTAATCGGCATGGTGTGTTAGTAACACCATTTCGTGGTTACTGAAAGCTTGTGTGCATTAAGCTTGGAACAAATAGCCCAAGATATCGCCGATATAAAGGAATTTCCGTTTAAATACTGTCTGGTAGTAATGAATGTAATTTCGGTGTGTCACATCTATTGGATTGCGGTGTAAAACAGAGCTAAGAGGATCCCGATATTTAAACAAAAAGGTTTTGATTTATTGTGTGGCACTTTGTTGTTTCTTCATCTTGTTTAATTATTTACGTATGGTGAAATAATTGTTTTGGTACATTATTTGAAACTTCTTCAGCGTTCACGTTAGATTAAACATTGTTAACCGAATAAAGAGCCCTTCAGGCATGTTTTATGATTTCGTGGGCCTGGGGTTGGCCCATCGAAAATTGTTGTCCGTAACTCCAGATTCGAACTTAAATAATTGATCTGAAGAATATCTTCGAAAGAAGTCAATACCAAAGAATAATGCAAACGTCTTAAGTCTGAATGCGATAAAATGTCTTATTAACTCAACTAAATATAATCTTCGTAAGAGACTGCGCTGCAAACTTAATAAACGTGCTTAATTATATTGTTAGTCGAGAAACGTGAAGGGGAGAGACTACTCTGCATGATTAGGCGTAGCTGGAAGATAATATTAAAATGGAGGTTAAGAACATAAAATATAAATATGTGGACTGGATTCACGCGGTTCAGAATAGGGTCTGTTGGTGGGCCCTTGTGAACACGGTAATGAATTATCGGGTTCCATAAATACTGGGAATTAAGCGGAACGACTAACAGCTTCTCAAAGGGGCCTCAGCTTCGTGGAGTTAATTAGTTTATTAATTAAGCTGTAACATGTTACGACATATCTATAGCGGTTGAAAAAAGTTTGTTTTGATGTTATATTGATTTTGCTGTTCATAAAGATACGAAGTTTTTTATAATTTGCCCAATAATATTATAATAAATGGAGTAGTTTTCGGGGTGATGAACACTGAACCTCTATCATATTTTTATACACATCTATTAATTTTTGAAATTCGATTAAGAAGAAATCAGTTTATCTGTTTTCAAGTACTAGGAGAAAACGCTGAACAATTCGTCCATTGCTGGAAATGCATTTGAATTCAAGACACACCAACTGAGATACATTGCTAGGTCTAGTATATGTAGAATACCAAATGTTTGTGGCTGTGAAATGTAATCAGAATTTATCAGTGAAATGGACTCTGGAATGCTCATCTCAGAACTGAGACAACTGAAGATGTTTTCACAAATAATACGCCCTCCTTCTACTACAGTCTTCAAAATGTATCTCTCTACATTTGTTTTGCTTGCTTTGTGTCTCTTTCATGACCACGTATTTGAGTTTAGCTTCTGAAAATTGACAGTTTTATTACCAACAGATGGTACGTGCATTTTGTTGCTTCATTTTATTACATAACCTCGGGCGGTCTTTCATGGGATCTGAATGTGTTAATTAAACTATCGTGGAGATCGACAACTCTGATTCATTCTGGATATGACTACTGATCCAGTAAGTAATTTGGAAGGTAATTAAATAATAAGCAACTACACATACGGCATTTTAGTTGGAGAACCTGCAGGGAAGAGACCACTTGGAGGAAAATTTTCGAGGGTATCTTAAATAGAATAGGGAGTGAATGTGGCCGGAATTGTCTGACTTAGGATATGTTCCATTGGCGAGCTCTTTTGAACACAGTAATGGACATCACACTGGACGGAACGTTTAATATTGCTTTGCTCTGGACTTGTTCTGAAACGTTTCGGGAGCTGGCTCTGACGTCGTCTTCAGGTGAAAATGCCTATGCTAGTAGGTCCAATAGTGCCGGACCCCGGACCAGGGACTTGGGTTAGACCCTTCTGTAGGACCCAGCGTAATAACGCGGGATGAACGATGTAATACTTAAAAAACAGCAATATTAAATGACGATGGACTTCCAGGTTTCATGCAAGAAGATGAATGTCGTAACGACTGAGGGGGACTTCGCTGCATAGAATGGCTTCGTAGTTCCTGGATCGTGTGTCCTTGGTTGTGCGTTTAATGAGGACAGGCAGCTGTGTGATGACCCCTCCCCCCGCAATCCTCCTCAGCCTTTTCGCTGCCCATGATTATTTGGTTGCTGTTGCATTATAAACTGAACTCCGATCTTCGTTTGTGTAAGAGCCTCGCGCCACTGCTCCAATTATTACGGGTTAGTTACCAACACCCGCTTTTAATTACATAATTTCATTTAATATTGCCCGCCCAGTTGTACGAGCGCTTGTTTACACGGTTTCTGGGGATATAATGACTTCGTTGTACGAAAATTATTTGTAACTCTTTTGCGGTGGAAGCCATTAATGATATTTGACAATGTGATTATGTTGCTGCTGGTAACAGTGTAGGTTTTTATGAAGTATCAGGCTGTTTTAATTTAATAAATATGACGGAGTATTATTATCCTTTTAATCCGTTGGTGTCCAAAGTTGTATCTAATTATGGCCATAAGACTAACAACCAACTACGTGGAGTTTGATTCTTGTAGAAAAGGTGAGAGTAGTATGGTGAGCTAGTTAAGAAATCTTTGACATTTATGATACCAAAGCGTCATTATCGTGAGCTTGATGAATCCAGTCTACACGGTAATTTATTAATCAAGTATTCATTTTAATATTGTCCTCATCTTTACGCCTACATATGCTATTCGAAATGGTCGCATGCTTAAGGTTTTACCACCAACATTTTGTATACCTCCTGTGTCTCAATTACCTCGGTTTTATCACCCAAATAATAGTTCATGGTGTGCATAAAGTTGAAACTTGTCATTATATAGTCATAGTTTTCTCCGTGGTCCTGTTACTTCGTCATTTTTAGAAACAAATATTGTCCTCATCACTATGTTATAATTTGGATCAGGCCGTACTGAGGTTTTGTACTTTGTCCATCGTCTGATATTCTGAAAAACAGACAACATTTGGAAAGCTGGAACTAATTAAGGCTAACCTCAATCACAGGTGCACTTATTGAGATTAGCTCTTTCAAAAGGACCCAGCTGGATGGTGTTCTTGTTTCCTACACCTGAGGACGAAAACATATCCTGTTTCCGAAAAGTAATTTTTTTAGAATACCAGACGATGGGCATGTCCAACAATATTCTGTCGTCAGAACCCTTTAGAATCGACTACGTTC